ATTACCATTGTTGAACCCTTTATTGAATATCATCATTAAGAACTCCTCGAAGATTCTGATACTTAGTGTACATCTTTTCTGAGGATGCTGAGGGCTAGACAATAGGCAAGGGATGATGAAGAAATATAATTCAGATCTGGAATTCCAGGGAAGTCACATTAATAAATCAGGGAAGTTCCCTGCTTTATTAAACATTAATAACCATTAGACCATTAGACTTGCCACTGAGTGAGATAAAAGGGAAAGGGAAAGGCATCTGCCCTTGGCTCAACAGAGCTGTGATCGTCTCTCCTTAGACCTCTGACAAGTTCCTACTTTGACCTTGTGGTCAATTTGTTTATACCTTCATACAATGCTGGGTTGGCTCTGAACAGGGCCCTCTCTAGGTAGTTTTCTGGCAAAAGCTTTGTAATTATTAGATGAAGTAGCGGTGGGACTTGAGAATTATCAGTTTAGATTTTTTTTTGAGAGATATTTTTGCTATAGGATACTGGAGAGACAGACAGAGACAGAGAGACAGCTAGATACCACCCCTCGAGAGGATGACGTGCCTCAATCCCTTTTCTTCCATTATCCACTTGAGATTTTTAGGCACGTACACACATGTGCCTGGTGTGAGTTTCAAGTTACTGGGTTTGGGACTCGAACCATGGTCAGCCATTTCGAAATCTAATGCCTTAACCACTAGGTCATCTGCTGGCCCCACCAGCTTATATGATTTTTATATTCTTAAGTTCTCAAAAAACTTTGATATATTCACATTCTTTTTTAAAATTCAAATGATTCTATTTGGAATAAACTATAAATTATCTTCTATTTACCTTATTAAGAGACTTGGAGAGCAGAGAATGGGAAGAAAAATCAAAGAAGAAAGGAAACTAGTATGTATGGAGCAGAGCTGTGCGAACTGTTGAACACTTGCACATGTAATGTAAGTCCTTGCAATACCCCAGTGAGGAACGTGATTTTACCTGTGTTTTACAGTGAGAACACTGAGGCCTTCACAGATTATTATCTGTCTCAAGTTGGTCAGCATGGTAGTGAGTAGTCACTTGCTCCCCCGATGCCAACATCTATGCCTTTTGCTATACGTGGTATGACTGTGCTAAGCAGGGATTGGAGCAAGAACTACTCCTTTCCCCCAGAATTAAAGACGAGACCATATCTCTAGAAGGCAATGGGTTCCAAGGACTGGTACCCACACGAGTCCGCTTGTGCACAGCATATACCAGTATAGCTCTGCCTGTGTTTTTCTTTCCTGCATCAAGGTCAAAAATCTCATTTTCTATCTTTGTCAAAGAATTTTTTATGTAGTTTTTTGAGTTTCCTCTTTTCTTTAAGCTTTTCAATGCTATTGAGACACAATGCTTTGAATAAAAGCCTTATAGAGACATTATGATATGAAGATAAAGTCTCTTTTCAATAAGAAAATCATAGGTGACAGTGCTCAGTAGTTTCATCTGTGTGGTTGATTTCATGTTGGATATTAAGTAGGTGTAAAGGTAAGGAGTTTCCCCCCATAAAACCCCCCAATTGTTATATTTCCAAGCTTCAGCAGTAATCTGTGAGTCCCAGCGTCCTCTTTAAAAGGAAAGCTTTGTAACAATATACCACAGGTTTCTTCATGTGTTCTAAAGCAGCTCCAGCCATTTCTGGCTTTGGGGTACTGGTGATGCCTAGCTTATGGACTAGTTCTGCTCTAGGTCTCCCAATAAACCTCTTTAACCTCTTCTACCTCTCCTTCATGTCACTTATTATGGCTATGATAACTTAATTATGATGTAATATTATAATATTATGCATTTAGCTCCTTATGCCTTCTTCCTCCCACAAAAATGTGAGCTTCCTGGAGACAGGAACTGTATCTGCTCCAGACACTGCTGCCTCTCTACTGTCTCTCCAGTGAGCTCCCAGCCAGATCCTGTGACAGCCTGTACAGGGCCTGAATGATGAAGCATTGGTCTCAAGGCTCTTATAGAATCCTCTGGGCTACCCAGAGTGTTCCTCTTGGATGATATAGTTTTGTCTTCTTGTTTAGTTGTAGGAATAACTCTTATCTTACCTCGCCTTGTCCTGTCCCACTCCCACTCTCACTCCCCTCCCCTCCCCTCCCCTCCCCTTCCCTTCCTTTCCCTTCTTACCCCTTCCCTTCCTTTCCCTTCTTTTTCTTTCCCTCCCACCCTTCTTCTCTCCCTTCTTTCCTTTCTTCCTTCTTCTTCTTACAGAGGGCACATGTGCTTTGCAGAGAAAGACAGACAGACAGACAGACAGACACACACACGCACACACACAGAAAGAGGGAGAAAGCACCCCCCAATAGGGTAGGTCATGCCACTATCCCTTCTCCAGTTCTCCATTCCATTGGGACTCCAGACATTTATGCACATGTGCCCAGTGTATTTTTCAAGCCATTGCAGCTGAGATTAAACCACGGTAAACCATGTAGAATCCAGCTCCCTTAACCACTAGGCTGTGAGTCCAGCCCTGATCTTATTTTCAAATAATATTTTTAATACTCAAAATAAGGTTCTCTCCACTCCAGGGAAAAACAGATGCTTTCAATTTTGTGCAAGGATGGTGTTCATGCTTTAAGTAATTAATTTATTCATCTTGAGATATTTTAGAATGCCACTGGTGCTCAGATGGTATTGGGGGTTAGCTCCAAAACAACAAATCAAAAAATAAATCTTTTACTCTTGAATATCAGTAGGGTCTATGGAGCCCTAAAAACAGGTAAAATAAAAATTAAATGCAGAATAAATTTTGGTGCTAAATTACCAATAAGTCCTATGGGAAATGGCATCTGTTTTAATTCTTCCTAACATAAACACACACACACACACACGCTTCTTCAGGGTTGTTGTAATAGCAAACTAGAGTTGAATGGGGAGGGTGTCAGGAGAAAGATATTACCATTGTTGAACCCTTTATTGAATATCATCATTAAGAACTCCTCGAAGATTCTGATACTTAGTGTACATCTTTTCTGAGGATGCTGAGGGCTAGACAATAGGCAAGGGATGATGAAGAAATATAATTCAGATCTGGAATTCCAGGGAAGTCACATTAATAAATCAGGGAAGTTCCCTGCTTTATTAAACATTAATAACCATTAGACCATTAGACTTGCCACTGAGTGAGATAAAAGGGAAAGGGAAAGGCATCTGCCCTTGGCTCAACAGAGCTGTGATCGTCTCTCCTTAGACCTCTGACAAGTTCCTACTTTGACCTTGTGGTCAATTTGTTTATACCTTCATACAATGCTGGGTTGGCTCTGAACAGGGCCCTCTCTAGGTAGTTTTCTGGCAAAAGCTTTGTAATTATTAGATGAAGTAGCGGTGGGACTTGAGAATTATCAGTTTAGATTTTTTTTTGAGAGATATTTTTGCTATAGGATACTGGAGAGACAGACAGAGACAGAGAGACAGCTAGATACCACCCCTCGAGAGGATGACGTGCCTCAATCCCTTTTCTTCCATTATCCACTTGAGATTTTTAGGCACGTACACACATGTGCCTGGTGTGAGTTTCAAGTTACTGGGTTTGGGACTCGAACCATGGTCAGCCATTTCGAAATCTAATGCCTTAACCACTAGGTCATCTGCTGGCCCCACCAGCTTATATGATTTTTATATTCTTAAGTTCTCAAAAAACTTTGATATATTCACATTCTTTTTTAAAATTCAAATGATTCTATTTGGAATAAACTATAAATTATCTTCTATTTACCTTATTAAGAGACTTGGAGAGCAGAGAATGGGAAGAAAAATCAAAGAAGAAAGGAAACTAGTATGTATGGAGCAGAGCTGTGCGAACTGTTGAACACTTGCACATGTAATGTAAGTCCTTGCAATACCCCAGTGAGGAACGTGATTTTACCTGTGTTTTACAGTGAGAACACTGAGGCCTTCACAGATTATTATCTGTCTCAAGTTGGTCAGCATGGTAGTGAGTAGTCACTTGCTCCCCCGATGCCAACATCTATGCCTTTTGCTATACGTGGTATGACTGTGCTAAGCAGGGATTGGAGCAAGAACTACTCCTTTCCCCCAGAATTAAAGACGAGACCATATCTCTAGAAGGCAATGGGTTCCAAGGACTGGTACCCACACGAGTCCGCTTGTGCACAGCATATACCAGTATAGCTCTGCCTGTGTTTTTCTTTCCTGCATCAAGGTCAAAAATCTCATTTTCTATCTTTGTCAAAGAATTTTTTATGTAGTTTTTTGAGTTTCCTCTTTTCTTTAAGCTTTTCAATGCTATTGAGACACAATGCTTTGAATAAAAGCCTTATAGAGACATTATGATATGAAGATAAAGTCTCTTTTCAATAAGAAAATCATAGGTGACAGTGCTCAGTAGTTTCATCTGTGTGGTTGATTTCATGTTGGATATTAAGTAGGTGTAAAGGTAAGGAGTTTCCCCCCATAAAACCCCCCAATTGTTATATTCATCTCATTATGTCAAGTTCTTTGTGTCAGATAACATCTGTGTAGCTTCCAAAGAGGACGTGTCTTAACTTATATGATCCACTTGGTGGATGAGACTCTAAAAAATATAGTTTCAATGGACTTACTTTTGAGGTATATCAGAATAACTGCTACGTAAAGTCATTCCTCAGTGAACGAAAGTCAAAAGAGATCATCTTTAAACTTCACATTTTGCAGATGAGAAAACTGAATACCAGAGAAATAAAGTGACTTTGTCTAAGGTCACACAACTCATTATAGCTCAGCTGGAATGAGAATTCACTTTGTAGGACTCTCCAGTGCTCTTTATTTCGGTATCACATTGTAATATACTGAATTTTGTTTAATGGATCATAAAACATTCAACTCCATATCGGAATCCAAGTCTCCTTAGAGAGGGCGAGAACTAGTAAATAAATACCTTCTCTCCTCTTAGAAAAGACAGGACTATTCTGAAACTCTTTACCTTGGCAATAGGAACAGTTGAGATTTTACCTTCATAGCTGTAAAAGTGATGAAAGCATTTCTTACCTAAAGAATGGATTCTTTAAGTCAAGGATATTCCCAGATCTGAAGCCTGTTTGGTTCACCAGTGCCACAATCTGAATGTCATAGCTCTGACTGTGTCACAGAGAAAAACATATTTCACAAAGCTTGTTAGTTACTCGCATACAACTATGGCATCTTTTACATACACATACTTCATGAGTATTTGGGGGGGTGCATGTTTGATATCATATACACGTGTGTGTTTGGTATCTTATATGTGTCCATGTATGTCTATAAATAAATAACTTTCTTCTGATGATAAAAATATTAAATATTCATCACAGCAAATTAGAAATAGGAAAAAATACAAAGAAAATAAATGAAATGATCTATAAGGCCACTAGACAAAGATTCCTTCATCTGACATTATAGAATATTTTTCTTGTTTTGTATGTATTTATAGATGTAATATTTAGCAAGATGATTCTTCTTTTTTTTTTTAAAAGGTTTTTGCTATAGGGCACATGAACTCGCCAGAAAGACAGAGAGACAGAGAGATAGAAAACAAGAAATCACCCCTCTGGGGGGTTGGCCATGCTGCAATCCTTTCTCCTCCATTCTCCTCTCGGGACCTTGGGCACGCATGCACACACATCCGGCATAAACTTAAGCCACTGGGCCCAGGACTCAAACTGCGGTCAACTACATGAGAGTTAAGTGACATAGCCATTACACTAACTGCTGGTCCCAGCAAGATGATTCTTAAGTGTTGCTTGATATCTTCCTTTTATTTAACATACACAAGTGTTTATTCTATATCATAAAATAATTCTTCAAAATGCAGTCTTCAATAGTATTATATATAGATATAGAACTATTTAATAATTCTTTGTTGTTAGATATTTACATTTTTATAATGTTATTATTATAATAACAAAAAAACTATTTCTTTCAGAGATTTTTCTTATTGGGTATGTGCACTTGCTAGAGAGACAAAGAAAGACAGACAAAAATCAAGAAAACATCCCTCTGGGGGTAGTCATGCCCCAATCCTTTCTCCTCCATTCTCCTCTCAGGATTTTGGACATACATACATATACGCCTGGTGTGAGTTTCAAGCTACCAGGTCTGGGACTTAAAGTATGGCTGACCACGTGGGAGTCCAGTGCCTTAACCACTATGCCACCTGTTGGCCCCAAGAAACTATTTTTTTAGTTGCCAGAGGGCATGTGCACTCACTAGAGAGAGACAGAGAGAAAGGGAGGGTCCTCTCACAATTCCATCTGATGCAGCTGATTAAGTGTATAGATAATTCTATGTGAAGTCCAAGGCAAAGCTGTAAATTATGACCCTCAGGAGTGGTCCTTGAAGCATCCAAAGCTTTAGTTCTTTGATCAGTACTTTTTCCTTGTTTTATAAACTACAAAGTTCATCAAATTCTGCAACCAAATTCCCTGGCAAACCTGGGCATAGCAGGCTTTCATAGGGATCCAAACATTCTAAATAATATTTCAGGTAAGTAGCTGAGCTACTCCAACAATCAGCCTTTGTTTGTTAGTTTGTTTGTTTGTTATAGGGCCTGTGCACTTGCTAGAGAGATAGAGAGAAAGAGAGAGAAGAAAGTCCCACCCAGGGGAGGTGCATGCCATAATCCCTTCTTTTGGGATTTTAGGCATGCAAGCATATGCAACTGGTGTGTTTTTCAAGCCACAGGTCCATGACTTAAACTGCACAGTAGGTCATGTGAGATCCAGGCACCTTGATCATGGCACCACTGGCTGGTCCTTAATTCTTTTTATTTCTATTTTTATATGTCTTATTTACATAATAGGGATTTTATATGTATGTGTATATACACACATAGATCAATCTATGCATGACTGTGTGTATATACAGTGTACACAGTTTATGTGTCTATATCCACACACACACATAGAGAGAGACACTAGTTCTGGCCATTCTATTATTTAAGCTAATATATGCACATACTTAAAAATAAATATTAAGAGCTAGCAGGCAGCATAGTGATTAAGGCACTGGACTCCCATGGGGTCGACTGTGGTTCGAATCCCAGACTCGTTGACTGGAATCATACCAAGTCCATGCACACATGTGCCCAAAATCCTGAGAGAGAATGGAGGAGAAGGGATTGTGTCATGGCCAATCGATTTTTCACTTTTTCTCTCTCTATTGCTCTGATGAGCACACATAACCTATAGCAAAATTTCTTTTTTTTAAAAGGTAAATATTAGTATACTTGAGACAGACATAAAGTATTTTTACTCATAGCTGCATGTGATCAAAAATCTTTGAAGATCACTTCTGTGAACCTTAAAAAGATAAATTTCATAAAGTTTATAAAAAAAAAAGCCATGTTCTATTTTATTGCCACAGCAATAAAATGAGTGACAGCTTCAGAATGATGAGAGACAGTCAAAAATAAAATGCTAACAATACACTCGTAAATGGTCCAGGTGGAGAGAAAAGGGCAGTCATTGTCACACCTGTGTGGCTGCTTTGGGAGTTCTCCCAGGAGTTCAGAGTTTAAAAGATGATCTGACAATAAGGGAGGGGGAGATTCTACCCATGGCAGTACAAAGAGACAGCCCCTTACTGAAAAATAGCACAAAAATACTGACATTCAGGAAGTGCTGAGGCTGGTGGAAAATACCAAGGTAAACAATAATTTTAAACAAAGCGAAAAATCCCCTAACACCCGAAGAGGTACATTGAGAGGAAGAAAGAGGATAAGAGAAGAGGAAATAAAGATTGACCATGGCTTTACTGTGTTTAATTACTACTGTGTATTCTCTTTCTTAATATTTGCAAAAGTCTGGTGAGACGGAATTATAAATGTTACTTTACAGATAATAAGGTGAAAAAACTGTGGCGCTAGAGTGACTGATTTAACTTGCACAAGGTCACTCAAGTAACCACCAGTTAGAGACTGGACAGAACCAGAACACAGAAGATTCTAAATCTAGTTTGTTTTTTTCTTTACTCTACAAAGGTGCTGATCTAATAATGTAAAGAACTTCCTCTGGTCCTTTTTTTCCTTCTGCAAAGTTTTGCATACACACGATATATTAGCTGCTTTGCTCCATTGTATTACCCTAAGTTCTTTTTTATTTTTTTTAATAGGTTTTTTGCAATAGGGCGCATGCACTCACCAGACAGAGAGAGAGAGAGAGAAAGTGAGAAATCACCCCCCAGGGGGGATGGCCATGCCGCAACCCCTTCTCCTCCATTCTCCTCTCGGGATTTGGGCATACACGCACATGCGCCCAACGTGAGTTTCAAGCCACCGGGTCCGGGACACGAACTGCGGTAGACTACGTGGGAGTCTAGCAACATAGCCATTGCTAACTGCTGGTCCCGAGTTACCCTAAGTTCTTGATGAGAGGGTTCATGGGCTCATGACACTCTCATTGGTTAGTTATTGCACAACATTGCTGAGTCTCTGATATGCATTACATGAGGAGGTGTACACCACAGAAAACTCAGTCTCTCTCTTCAGGAAGCTCCAACATAGGTAAAAAAAAAAAAAAATAATAGCATTACAATGATGCTCCCATAAAGGCATGGAGGGCTTGGGACCAGCAGTTAGCGTAATGGCTATATTGCTAGATTCCCACATAGTCGACTGTGGTTCGAGTCCCGGACCCGGTGGCTTAAACTCACGCCGGGTTTGTGTGCGTGTGTGCCCAAGATCCTGAGAGGAGAATGGAGGAGAAGGGACTGCGGTGTGGCCATCCTCCCTGGGGGTTGATTTCTCGCTTTCTATCTGTCTGTCTCTCTCTGTCTGTCTGGCTAGCGCATGCGCCCTATAGCAAAAAAAAAAACCTCTTCAAAAAAAAATTAAGGGAACCAGCAGTTAGCGTAATGGCTATGTCACTGGACTCCCACATAGTCGACCACAGTTCGCGTCCCGGACCCGGTGGCTTAAAACCCCATGCTGGGCACGTGTGCATGTGTGCCCAAGATCCCGAGAGGAGAATGGAGAAGGGATTGTGGCTTGGCCATCCCCTCTAGGGGGTGATTTCTCACTTTCTGTCTCTCTGTCTCTCTCTGTCTGGTGAGCGCACGCACCCTATAGTGAAAAACCTCTCAAAAAAAAAATTAAAAAAGGCATGGAGGGCTCCAGAAGCCCTGAGACTCATGAGGCAGGTGTGTGAGGAGGGAAATGGTTTGTTTCTTTCTTACCTAGTCAGAGAAAGGCAGAAAAATATCACCAATAAGGATGAAATCCAAGACCGAAAAAAAGTACTGGAAGAATAAGATGATGAAAATTCACTCATCTATTACCTAAGATACTTAAAAACTACATGTATTTGAAAGCAAAAGAATGTTATTGTGCTTTACAAAAAGCAGGAAAAGCAAAGTCCAAAATTCCAGGCAGATGTTGGCTAGTGCTCCTTAGCATTCCCCCCCGCCCCCAGAACTGGTCATTAAACAGATGGCTTATGAGGATTTACAAGAAAGTTGTAACTTCTGGGATGAACATGGTATAAGTCAGCATTTTTCACTTTTCCTCTTGGAAGTCATCCAAAAACAAGGAGAATAGAAAGACGCTGCAGACCACAGACATCATTTTCTATAAACAAGGAAGAAGAGGTAATCTGTAGTTGCCAACATATGTGTGACAGCTGCCCAAGCAGTTGAGGTAGGCTAAAAGCCACATGGAGGAAAGTACAAAAGTACAGGAATGAGACAAAGACCAGAGGTGGTACAACTTAGAAGTGTAAAATCTCGTGCAGGCATTAGGGTGACCAGGACCGTGGGCAGAAATGTTCCTGGAACTGAAACATGGTGGACCTACCTATAGAATACAAGATGAGCCATTCTTACAGGAGGCTATGAGACTCTGTGGCAGCACAGATAACCCCCTGCCCCCAAAGGGCATGTGCACTTGTCAGAGAGAAAGAGGGAAAGTGAGAGAGCACCTCCCTCCTCCCCCACAGGGGATGGCCATGCCACAATCCCTTCTTCTTCATTCTCCTTTTGAGATTTTTAGATATGCACACCCAGATACTCTGCTTTCAAGCTACTGGCTCAGGGCTGCACAGCTGGCCATGTGGGATCCAGATGCCTTAATCTCCACACTATGGGCTAGCCTGAGATGGATTTTTTTTTTTAAAGTTTATACATTTATGTATTAAGTGAAAGAGAGAGAAGAAGGGGATAGAATGAGACAGCACTCCCAACAGGGTCTTTCTTTTTTTTTTTTTTTAGAAGTTTTTGCATTTGCCAGAAAGAGAGCGACAGAGAGAAAGAAAGCGAGAAATCACCCCCCGGGGGGGATGGCTATGCCGCAATCCCTTCTCCTCTCGGGATCTTGGGCATGCACGTACACACGCCTGGCATGAGTTTAAGCCACCAGGTCTGGGACTCAAACTGTGGTAGACTATGTGGGAGTCCAGCAACACAGCCATTACACTAACTGCTGGTTTCCCAACAGTTTTAATGAAGCCATCTACCCTTCGTTTTGACCAACCCTAGATTATGGGCAGGAGTAGTCAGAGCAGTCTCTGGATGCAAACCTGGAACCTTCCCATGAGGGTCATTGACAGAGCATCATGCCTTACTGCAGTGCCACCCTCCAACTCCAGGAAGAGACAGAATTTGAGTGGAGAAAAACAGCATGGAAGCTATCACGTCTCTCCTCCACAGAATTTCTTTCTGTAATAGTTACACAGAAAAGTCCCATATTTGATGATGAATGACAATACCTTCAAGACAATATGGAGTGATTCAATATCAGAAAAAAAAAGATTAACAAAATATACAAACAAATGAAAAACACATATCAGATAAATGATGTCATGGCAGAGATGAAAAAGTGTGAGCTATTATTTTGTCGACAAGTTTTAAAACCAGAATAAAGCCCTCACTTCTATGGAGGAGGAAATGCCTTTTGTGAAGGTAAACTATGATGCCGAAATACAGTAACTCAAGGAATAAAACAAGAAAGATCTCAACGTGCTGACATGGACACGTCTTTGAGATGCACTGCTACGCGAAGCAATTAAGATGGACAAAGCAAAAAAAAAAAAAAAACGTCGCCCAAGAGGCCCCGGAACAGTAGGTAAACTATGATGCCGAAATACAGTAACTCAAGGAATAAAACAAGAAAGATCTCAACGTGCTGACATGGACACGTCTTTGAGATGCACTGCTACGCGAAGCAATTAAGATGGACAAAGCAAAAAAAAAAAAAAAAAGATGGACAAAGCAGATATAGAATGTTACCATTTAGAAGCAAAAGCAGTGTTTTCTAATTGCACATCCAAAATGGACTCTGAGGGCTATGCAAGAGGGATAGGATGGGGCCCACACTGGGAAAAAAGACTTTTTATTGTGTATATTTTTATATATTTACATTGTGAATCGTGTGATAGTATCCTCTCTTAAAAAATTAAATATAACTTTAAGGAGGTAGAAGCTCATGTCAACTACAGATCTAGCAGTTTCACTAAGAAATTAAATGATGAAAACAATATCTAGTTAGTTACATTTCCTTTTTTTGCCAGTGTTATTGGACTAGCCTATGAGAGTGAAAATTAAACTTACCTAGATATCACATCTGATAAAAGTTGTATTTTCTTCTGGCCTGGATAGATAATGCAGGCTGGATATGATTATAGGTGGCTGGATTTGTGGCCACTTTCATGGCCAAATTCAGAGGGTGTGGATTAGGTTGCACATATGCAAATTTTGAAGGAAGAGTACAACCGTGACCTCTTTCTGCTTAATATTTTTTAAATAAAAATTTGAAAATGATATAAAAAAATAGGAATTGCTAATATGCTACAAAAATTTAAGATAATAAAATAATCTATTGGCTTCAGTAAAGATCTAAAAATAGCAGATGAATGAGTGGAACAAACATGAAAACATGTACCCACACTAACAAAAATCAGCTGTATGTTAAGAGAAAAGAGTAAACCTATTTAAAGGTAGATCATGTAAGAAATACACTTTTTTTTTTTTTTGAGAGGTTTATGCTATAGGGCGCGTGTGCTCGACAGAGAGACAGAGAAATAGAAAGCGAGAAATCATCCCCCAGGAGGGATGGCCAAACCGCAATCCCTTCTCCTCCATTCTCCTCTCGGGATCTTGGGCATGCATACACATGTGCCTGGAGTGAGTTTAAGCCACTGGGTCCGGAACTTGAACCGCAGTCGACTGCATGGGAGTCCAGCGACATAGCCATTATGCTAACTGCTGGTTCCAAAATTCACTTTTTGGTTTTAATAGACTATATTCTCAAGAATAATGGGCCCCAGACTTAACTGTTTTTTCCCAGGATGTGTATATTTGCTGGAGAGAAACAGTGAGAGGGAAAGTGAGAACTCTATCCCAGGTGGAATGGCCACACCTCAATCCCTTTCCTCCATTTTCCTCCTGGGATTTGGGTACACATGTACACACACCTGGCATGAGTTTTAAGTTGCAGGTCCAGGATTTGGACTGTGGTCAGCCAGGAGGGACCGGCACCTGAACTACTACACCATCTGCTGGCCCCAATGTAAATTTACATAACATTATTATAAGTATAATCAAAATAGCAGTAGTTACTGTTACTCTGTACCCAGCACTGGCCAGAACACACTGTTGAGTATTTAGTTCTAGAGAACTGTTTTCAAAGGGGACATTGATAACCAGGGTATTTCAGAAGGGAGAACTTAGAATTTTAAACTGTTTTAAAATCATTCCTTCAGCATGTTAACTTAAAGACAGGAGAATGAGAGGACATTTAGTAGGCTCTCCAATTGCCATGTAGAGATTAGAACAGAGTTGGTTTGAATTCAGAAACACAGCTAAGATCAATGAGTAGAATTTATAGGAAGAAAGATACAGGATCAATAGCAAGAATAACTACTTTAATAGTTAGAGGTATTGGGGCCAGACAGTGGTGCACAGTAATGCAATACTCTGCAATGTTCCACCCACACGGGAAGGGCCCAGGTTTGCATCCTGGGGTCTCCCCATATATAGGCATGCACTCACGCATCCACGATCTGGACTGACTGGGGATGGAGTGTGATTGTATCTCTCCCTATGCCCCCATGGAACAAATAAATACACCTAAACAAACAAACAACAAACAAAAAACTAGAGATGTCAAAAGTGGGAGGCATTAAGAGCCAAGGGCCATTTAAAAATAAATAAATGCAAACTAAAATAAGATTTTTTTATGAAGTATTTTTGTGGTCTATCAGATTAACAGAGTCATAAAGACCATAACATTCAGTTTAGGGACAGATGCAGAGACATAAGCATGCTTATCCCTGGCTAGCATGAGGGGAAATTGGTGTGACGACTGAGAAAGGTAGTGTCTATCAGAGCAGAACGGTAAATACTCTTTGATCTAGCATTTCCATTTCTAAGCATCTCATTTGGAAATACCCACATCGCTGTACACACTATACACTCAGAGGCAATTTATTGCAGTATTTTCTGCAATGGAAGAAAATAAAAAGAGAAACCACTTAAATATCAATTGGTCAGAGAGTTTTTTTAAAAGACATATGGCATATCCATGATATGGATATGCATCTGTTAAAAGGGAAAAAGCAGATTTATCTGAACAGATCTAGGACTTACTACTAAGTAAAAAAATTAAGCTGCAGGCTACAAGTAGAATCTTCTTGTAAAAGCAAAAATAAGCCTGCAATGATGTTATCGGTTGGCATAGACACAGAAATGCACCTTATAGTATACAAATCCAACTGTCACATGAGGGGAGTGAGATGAGGGTTGAGAGTACAGGAGGATTCTGTACACTTTGGTAGCTTTGAATTTATATGAGATTATGTTAGGTTTTGTAACTAAAGAAATAAAGACTTAAAAATGGGAGGTTTGGTCTCCAATGTGGTGAGCTCTCCCTCACTGGAGAATTTAAGCACAGGCCCAGAGAAGAGCGGGAGAAGAGAAAGGAAGAAAATTGAATGAGATGACCACTGAATATGCCCTTACTATCCTGAAGATCCTGGAACCACTTTGATACTTCTCTCTCTTGTAACTCATACAAGAGAAGCTCCAACAAAGCGAAAGAAAATAGAGCATTTTAAAAACAAGATAAATCAGGGGCACATGGTGGCATGGAGATTAAGGTGGTTGGATCCCACATGGCAAACTGTGTGGTTCGAGTCCAGACTTGGCTTGAAAACTTGTTGGGCACATGTGTGTGCATGCCCAACCTTTCAAGGAAAGAATGGAGAAGAAGAGATTGCAATGTGGTCATTTCCAGAGGGTTTTACTTTCTCTCCCCCTCTTTCTATCTACCTAGTGAGTGCATGTACCTTATAGAAAATTAAAACCAAAACGAAACAAAAGATAAATCAAGGTAATGGCTGCAGAGACCTCATGAAATCCATCACTGTAGAGAAGCAGCCTATTCTTCCTGACACACTGCATACTGCCTCAGAAGTGCTTTGTACACCTGCAGTACAGATCATCTGTGCTGTACTGAATTTAAGGGCATGTGGCTGGATAGATGTAGGTTCAGGAAGCTGACGTGGGGACTCAGCACTTGCTTATTCAAGCCTGCAGCAAATGCTCCAATGAGCTCCTGGATTTCCTTCCTCTTCTTGTGGTCAGATGGGCAACACAACCCTGGAGTTACCTGAAGCTCCCCTTCCTTGCCACATTCTAAGGATTTGATGTGCCCTGCAGGCTTTGAAATTGAGTGCATGTGAGCAAACTCAGTCAGGCTCTGTGAAGTTTGCAGTCTGTGGGTGCTGGGATCTCAAGTGCTTGCTAATCTTCTTTTGCTCCCACCCTTGAGGTCTTGATAGAGGTGAAATCACCTCTGAACTTCCCTGCTTACCGTTTGTTGGCTACAAACAGCACTTTTCCCGAGAGAGTCTCTCCTTCCTTGGCAAAAAGAGGAGTCTGAAGCAGGCATCGCACCTGATACTAGTGAGTCAAAGGCTCAGTTGGGGCTGTTGACAGTCAAACAGTTACCCTGTGAGGCAAGAAAAGAGTTAAAAGCCACTTACATGCTAGACCCACAGTAATAGATTGGACTGAGGCCTGAGACTGATCAGTGATTTTCATTCTCTTTGACTCATGGACCCTTTTAAGATGAATATAGCTCAATTTACTGAGCAATTACCATATGATGGGTACTGAACTAAGAGTTTATATCTATTATCCCATTAAAGCCCTAGGCAGAAAACTTGGAAAGGTTAAATGATTTTCTTAACATTACACAGAAAACAGAGAGCCAAGCTTCAAACTCAGACTCAGCCACCGTGTCAGTCTGTGTTTCCAAGTCAAACTCATTAGAAACCCAATAAATAGGAAAGTGAAATAACAAACTGGTTTGTTTGGAAAGCGTGGCAAGGGGACAAAGTGAGAGCCTGGCCTCATGCCAGCCTGGTCAGGGGTCATACAAAGGCCTCTGGAAGCAAGAACAGTGACTGACCTTCCAGCCCAGACATCCTGAGTGTGTTTAAATTGCGTCATGTAAAGAAGTGCTCTTACCACCGAGGTGGCCTATCCTGGGGCCAAGCAATGGCTGCTGGCTTGTGGAGACCAAGGAGTCCATTAGCATAGGGCACATTCCTAGAAGGTCAATCTTGACTTGAAGACTCAGAAAGAAAACGTTGTACCATTTAATGGCCAATATAAATCACTGTCACATCAAAATATACTCAAATATTTTGGGTCATTGAGAAAATCATGACACATTTTTTGCATAGAAACACACAGAAAAGTCAGTCACGACTTTCCTGATGATCTAATAGTATAGAGTAGAAAGCAAATTTTCCAAATTTTGAGTGTGTGGGTGGGCAGAGCGTTTTTTTTTTTTTTTCTCTTTTCCCACATTACACAGGGTCTCACTCAAATTCACTTACATGGGATATTAGTGGGGGCAAGCAAATATATGGATTCCTTGAGCAAATGTGCTGATATGGAGTAGAAATAACCTGTGTATCATTTTTCTCTCTTTCTATCAGCCTAGACAAGGCCTCTGCTCTCCTGGGCTCCCTGAACCTCTCCGAGCTGCCAGCCCCTCAGACACTTCTCTCTGAGCAAGTACAGTGACTAGGCTGGACACCCTCATGAGCAGTAGAAGAGAGTACAACACAAGGTTTTCCCTTGCCTGGACACATGGCCCCCATCAAATCTCTGCTAGTTGGAAGACATGAGGAAGCTTGGGAAGAAAGTAGGGAAGGCAGGAATGGGCCAGAGATTTTGGGATCATGGGAGTGATGCAGCCCACACGAGGAACACCAAACACTGACGGCCAACTTGCAGGCGGTCTTTCTCCTCTTCTCCCTGCAATTTTCCAACCTGAGCAGTCGGGGAGAGGGAGTACCCCAGGTACTAACGCCGTAGTTAGTGGTACATGTCTACCTGATCTTTACAGAAGGATATCAATTGAGAACCAAAGCGGGAAAAATATGATTCCAATATTGCCCAGACACAAGAGATTGTAAAACAATTATATTAGATGCCAAGTCAGGAGCTTGGAGTTCTAGCCCATCTATTCTGGAAAAGACCTAAAGATCTAGTAGAACATATACCTTCTCTCATCCCTACAAAGTTTATTCCAATTGGGTTAAAGAGGTTTTATGGTATTTTAGTCAGAGTTGATATGACACACAAGAAACTCTCATTTTCACTTCACCCTAAAATCTAAAAGTAACATTAACATCTATGTTTATTTCCTTGAAAACTGGAAAAAAGAGTATTAGTGTTGTTGAAATTAATTCTTAAAAACTTTAAAACCATTATAAATTCTTAAAAACTTTAAAACCATTATAAATTCTTAAAAACTTTAAAATCATTATAAATAGTGGAGGATAGTGTGAAGTAAAGCAAGCTAAGAGGAGGTGGGAGATACATACAGAGATCCAACAAAGGCCACGTCAAACCAGAATGCCAAACCATGGATGAGGCCAGACTGCACTATCTGAAACACAAAGGGGATTTCTACTCTGCAAAGAAAAAAAAAGAAAGAAAGAAGAAACACTGGGAGTTATTTTGTTGTTGTTATTGACAGATACACTAGATATACTTCTGAGATTGGTATTAACACTCAGAATATTTTTTCTCTCTATCAGTTCTGCCTTGGTAGCAAGGTTCTTTCAATATGTGATTAATACTTGTGTGACACTGTACATCTGAGAAACTCACATCTTGACAAAGCTTGCAAAGCCACAGTGCTGTGCTGTAGTGACTTGGAACCGTAGAGGGTAAATGTAACATCTGGACCAGGAGGATGACTGGGGTACAGGGGACAACCATCCTTCAAGAAGCCAAAACATAGGCCCTGGTAGTTCCCCTTTGCAGTTGTTCAGGAGAGGCTTCTCAGACCTCTTTAAAAATGGAGCGGGGGACCAGCAGATGGTGTAATGGTTACGTTGCTAGACTCCCACATGGCCAACCGCGGTTCGAGTCTTGGACCTGGGAGCTTGAAACTCAAGCCAAGTATGTGTTCTTGCTGCCCAAAATCCAGAGAGGAGAATGAAACAGAAGGAATTGTGGTGTGGCCATCCTCCAAGGGGGTGATTTCCTGCTTTCTGTCTCTCTGTGTCTCTCTGTTTCTCTGGTGAGCACAAGTACTCTATAGCAAAAATCTCTCAAAAAAGAAAAAAACTCAAGTGGACCACAAGAGAACATTGAGCTCAGAGGGTCATTGTCATAGTTTGTTTATTTTTCAGAAAGGCAATTTAACTTCCCACCATAGCAAGAGTCATGTAGACATGGTCATGGTTTATACCACGTACGGCAGAAATGGAAACAGATTATTGGAAAATACACAAGGAAAAAAATCTAAATTTTGGGCCCATTTTAGCCATGGAATCTTGGAAAGTCACTTCAACAAGTGTTGAAGAAAGACAAAATCTCCTTCTTACTTTCCTTCTACAAGGTTCTTGTATGTGTCAAATAGGAAAAATGTATATGAGAGTGCTTTGCAAACTGGAAAGTGCTTTGAGATTAAGAGGTGATATTATTGGCGCACCAATAGTACTTTATCACTCCAGAGTCTTAGTTTATTGCATGTTCTAAAAGTCATCAATGGAGGCTGTGTGTTATTTGCAATTACGGTACTCTCAAGGCTTAACTTCTTTTGCTCTGCAGTCACCAGAATATTTCCAAAGTCTTCCATTGTACTTGGCACATTTAATTTATTGTTCTTCTTGCATTATAATTATGTCTTTTTTTTTTTTTTTTGCATTCCCCTAAATGTACTATGAGGCCCTCAAGGATAGAGACTTTAAAAACATTACTTTTTGTACCTTGTAAGCAGCAACATAATATCTGGCCCTTAGTAGATTTGCAATAAATATTTTGCTGAATCAATGTGCAAGGGACTGAATGACATCTCCGAAAAGTCAACATAGATACAATTTTCAAAATCTTCCCCAGGAATCAGAAAGTAGCCCAGGGCATCAAAACCAATGGAAGTCAATTTTTTCTGGACTTTGTAAATTATTACAGTTGTTCCCAAATGCCAATTCTCTTGCTGTAAGCATATGGTAGGACTGTGTTTCTCCACCCACTTAAATTCAGGTACTAACACATAATCTGCTCTGACCAACTCAATATGAACAGAAGTGACTCATGCCACTTCCCGAGTGAAGCTTTAATTGCCAAAACTTTTTTTTTTTTTTTTTTTTTGCCACGCTCCTTCTTTTTCCCAAGTGACCAAGCATCATTGCAGACAGAAGCTGCTGCATCAGCCTGCTGGTGTGAGTGATGCATGGTAGAACTCCAACTGGTGCACAATGGCTAAAGAATGTAGAGAAAAAAGACACCTGTGTTGATGTAAGTCACTGAGGCTTCCTTTTGTTACTTCGGCATGCACTTGTCTATCCTAACTGATACAAGATTCTTTTTGTTTATTCATTTTTTTTGGAGAGGTTTTTGCTACAGGGCGCGTATGCTCCCCAGACAGACAGAGAGAGATAGAGAGATAGAAAGCGAGAAATCACCCCACGGGGGGATGGTCACGCCACAATCTCTTCTCTTCCATTCTCCTCTCGGGATCTTGGGCACGCACGCACACGCACCCGGCCTGAATTTAAGCCACCAGGTCCAGGACTTGAACCATGGTCGACTACGTGGGAGTCCAGTGACATAGCCTTTATGCTAACTGCTGGTGCCAAGATACTCTTTATTCATCATGATCTCAAGACAGCATTAGCCAACTGTACCTTCTAGTGTGTGTGTGTGCCTTGCTTCCTCAGTAACTTCAGGGACATTTCAGTCTACCTGGATCTGATCTTTCTTATCCAGGAAAACAAAAAAACAAACAATAAAACAAATATTGATCTTCTCAGAGAGAAAAGGGCAAAATATTAGTGAAAAGTCACCCAGAGGAGTTTCATATCACCATCTAAGAAAATGCAATCTAATCAAGACATTTGTCCTCATTTTAGCCTCTTCAAGTAATTTTTTTTGGAAAGAGGATAAAAATTAACATTTATTGAGTGTTCTCTTTAAAAATGAGACAATGGCTATAAGACACTTAGCACAGTACCTAGTATGCAGTAGGCACTCAACATGTTTTTGCTCTTCTTGTCATTATTACATGCACTGACATGGATATAATCACATCTATGCTTTTTGTTTTAGAGATTTTTGCCTTAGGGCGTGTGTGCTCACCAGAGAGAAAAAGAGAGAGGCAGATACAGTGAAAGGGAAAGTGAGAAATCACCCCCTGGGGGGATGGGCTTCTCCATTTTCCTCCTGGGATCTTGGGCACACACACACAAACACACAGACACACGTGCCCTGGATGATTTTCAAGGCACCAGGTCCAGCATTTGAATCGCTGTCACCACATGAGAGCCCAGTGGTGTAACCACTATACCATCTGTTGGGCCCATGCTCTTAAGAGACATTAAAGCGACTGCAGATACCAGAGACAGGGCGAGAGGAGGATGGGAAATGGCAGAGGGTGAGAAATAGGGGGGGAAATATATATACAAGAAACAGAAAATGAAAAATTATTTATTGATGAAAACACATATGATTAAGCCACTTTATAGTATATTCTGGCTGGGAAAATCACATTTTGTATGCTGTGGTGATATTCAGTGAAAGTATGTAAAAATAAATAAATTTACAAAAGAGACATTAAGGCCAGCAGGTGGCATAGTGGTTAAGGGCGCTGGACTTCCACATGGCTGACCATGGTTCGAGTCCTGAACCTGGTGGCTTACTCTCTCATTTTCCCTCTCTCTCTTTCTCTCTCGCTCTGCACCCCCTCTGGTCAAATTAAAATGAAATGAATGAATGAATGAATAAATAAATAAAGTTAAGTAAAATAATTCTTTTTTTTTTTTTAAAGAAACATTAAAGAAGAGTAGTGGAAGTTTTCTGAAAGGTTCAAATCCTAGATCTAACACCCTTTATCATTCTGTGACTTTTACAACTTATCAGTTCCCTCTACCTCATTTTTGCCATCTTTAAAATGGAGCCAACAATTGTACCATTCACACAAGGTTGTTATGACAATTAAATGAGTTAACTTTATGTGAAGGGCTCAAAACTATCTGGCTGTATGAGTACAAGCTATGCTTTTACTATCTAATTTTTTCTTATCTATTACTGTCCAAAAAGAAAAAAAAACACTGACGACGGAGACATCATCATCCTCCTTTTGCAATGAGCGAGACTACTTTGGATGCACCATTCCTATATATAACCCATACCTAAAATCTCTTCCCTGTGTGAGCAGCAAAAGTCTGCACTGAAGTTTTATGGGCAGGAGGTGTGGAGAGATTTTAAAAATCAAGGGCCAGAAGGTGGCGTTGTAGTTAAGGTGCCACATCTCACGACTGACTGTTTCGATCCAAGGCCTGGTAGCTTGAAAAATACTCCAGGTATCCGTGCACAAGTGCCTAAAATCCTGATAGGACAATGGAGAAGAAGGGATTGCAGTGTGATCATGCCCCCTGGGGGGTGATTTCTCAATTTCTTTCTGTGTTTCTCATTGATGAGTACATGCGCTCTATGGCAAAACCCCAAAACTACAATGACAACAAAACAAGAACAACACTGATTTGTACAAACCTGTGCAGATCTTCCTCTTCTGCATCCAGAAAGTTTACTGTGTACTTGACTGTTCGAGCCATCAAAATTCTAACATCAAATGTGTCCTTGGGTAAAAAAATAATCAAAGATGTTATCTTTTGCCCCAGTCTAATGGCCCAGTGGTTAAAGAGGCCAGATTTCACATAGTCGATCAGTTGAATCCCCACCCTGGTGGCTTGAGAATCATGTCTGGCATGTGTGCCTCAAATCCTGACAGGATATAGAAATGGAGAAGAAAGGATTGCAGCATGACCATGCCCCATTGGGGGGTGCTTTTTCCCTTTCTCTCTATTTCTGGTGAGTACATAGGTTCTTTGGCAATGAAAAAAAGACGTTATCTTTTTGTCACAATAGACTGTATTTGAGCAAGTTTGCAGCCTAGCTTTCCTCCTGCAATTTTAGGTCAACAGGAATTAAGATTTAGAAACCATGAGCTTAATGAAAATATCATTAATGTTAAAAACTAACATTTATTGAGCACTTACTAAATACCAAGTACGAAAGGTTTTATCCTTTATTAAATGCTAAGTATTTTGCTAGGTTACATCATTTACTTCTTGCAATATGTCTGGAGCAGACTTTCGGTGGTTTTTTAATTAATCAGAATTTATTCAAGGGTTAGGATTTGCTCTTCCACATAGTCTATCTAACAAGTTCTATATACGGAACAGCAGATAGCATAATGGTTACATCACTGAACTCCCATGTAGTCAACTGCAGTGTGAGTCCTGTACCAGTGGCTTAAAATATCATGCCAGACGTGTGTGCATGGATGCCCAAAATCTCAAGAGGAGATTGGGGAAGGGATTGTGGCATGGCCATCCCCCTGGATGGGGATTTCTCACTTTCTGTCTCTGTTTCGCTGTGTCTCTGGTGAGCGCATGTACCCTAAAGCAAAATCTCTCTTAAAAAAAGAAGTTCTGTATAAACTTCGTCTACCCTCAGCAAGAGGTGTAGCATTTGGCCCCAGTTTGGCCAATCAGATCATTGCTTTCCCCCTAAAGACAGTGATTGGTTCAGAGATGGCCACCTGATCAGACTCTATTTACCCTAAATCTATTTTTTGTTTCTTTGTTTGTTGTTGTTTTTCCCCTTTAATTTATTAGAAAAAAATCAGAATTGGAGGTTGGAGCTTGTGAGCCCGTCTTGCTAACATGAAGGAAGGATCTAAGGACAGAGCTAAATCAGAGAAAATGAAAGACAAGTGATGAGAATAGAAAAAAAAAAATCAATCTCTGGCCACATTGAGCTTCTGCAAGAGGTTCCTAAAGCAAGATCTATCTCTTGGCTTTGCCAAAAAAAAAAAAAATTTTTTTTTTCTTTTCTTTTTTTTTTTGCTGTAGTGTGAGTGCTCACTATAGAGAGATAGAGAGAGGAAAATGAGAAATTACTCCCCACCCCCCGCAATGGGGATGACTATGCCACAATCCCTTCTCCTCCATTCTCTTCTCAGGATTTTGGGCATGTATGCACACACACCTGGTACAATTTTCAAGCCTCCTGGTCCAGTACCTGAACCATGGTTGGCCATGTGGGAATCCAGAACCTTAACTATCATGCTACCTACTGGCCCAGCTTTGCAACTGTTGAGGAACAGCTATCCATTTTAGCTGAAGTCAGTTTGACTTGGGTTTCCTTTTACTTACAACTCTAAGAGTTTCAGACAATGCAAACTTAAAGTTGCCCAAGATTACACAAGAGATAGGGTCAGAATTGAAACCTGAAACTGAAAAGCAGCAAAGTTTCTGCCATAAAATATTTTATAATGCTTCTTTATTATTATTCTTTCAGTCATCAGAATCAATGTGAGGATGTAAATTACTGCACAAATGTGAGAGTTGATTATGTCAATAGGGTGGGTCAGGACAGGGATGAATCAGAAGTTATCTATCGAAAGTAAAGGAAGACTCCTTGCTTTCAACAGAATCACTCTCTAGTAATTTTTTTAATGGACTGGGATGTCTGAGCTAAAACTTGGAAACATGGTGCTGCAAGGAGTTCTTCTTCCTCTTTGTGATGCACTACATGCCAGGGAAACGACTGAATGAGTGAATGAATCAATATATAAACACATGAGAGTCTATGAAAAGTGAGCATACTTACTACTATTGGCTGTCTGAAGTATTCATCCACTGCTGCACCCCGGAGACTGGACAGGTTGACCCCGTAGAAGCACTGTTGGAACCTAAAATAGGTAGCACAAAGAATCACTCTGCATCTTGTCCCTCACCTGTCTCCAGACTCCCCCTATTGCTGTGAAGTGATGTGAGGCTGCCTCACAGCTCCTCTAAGTGAGCCCTGGAGCAGATGGTAGAACATGTGAAGGGCAAGGCTCTATAAAGAGTGGCAGAGTTGGAGATTCTCACCAGAAATCTGCAGATTTATATTTCACCTGAGGTGGGAAGAGAGAGAAGGGGAGAGGCAGATAGTTAAGAAAATTACTTGTGGGGAAATCATCAAGATGGATATTTGGGGAGAGGAAGGCCTCTGAGCACCCATCCTTGATCTCACGCCCTTCTGGTAGCCTCCTGCTCTGGGCCATACTGCCCAAGTACTGAGCTACAATGTCCTTGGCCCTCTCACTATCCCAATGCAGAGCACGACTTTAGATCTCCAAAGCCTCTCACCACTCTTGCTGCTTTAGGAAATAGATTTCCCTTTTCTGTTTTCCATAGCAATGGCCTACACCTTCAGGACAGTGTTGGCTATCATGGTTGATATCAGACACCAAGTCATAAGCAAGCAAGGGCTGTATTTGGTGGTGAATTGGAGCCAGCCTGTACCAGCTCATTAGATCCCATTGCACACATTTCCTCCAAGTTCCATGGTAACTGAAATCTGAACCATGGAAATGGGCAAGCACTACAAATCATGTATCCCTCATGCAGAGAGCAAGGAGTACAACATTTACCAACACACTTTGGCTCTGCCTTACCTTGATGTACTGCTGCAACTCAGAGCATGCCTGGAGCATGGTAAATACTCTGCATCAACCTGGCTAATGGTCTTAAATACTTAGAGAGATGATCCAGTGTATGCATTAAGAATGACTTTGAGGGCTAGCAGGTGGCATGATGGTTAAGGTGCTGGACTTCCACATGGCCGACAACAGTTTGAGTCCTAGACCTGGTGGTTTGCTTTCTCACTTTTCCTCTTTCTCTGATAATCATGCATGCTCTATAGCAAATTAAAAAATAATGACAATAAATAAAATAAAATAAATAATTCTTAAAAAAAAAAAAAGAATGATTGACCCAGCCCTGCTACTGACTAGTTGTGTGACTTGGAGAAGTTACGTGGATTCTATGCCTCAATTCCCTTATCTTTAAAATGAAGTAGTTTCAAACTTATTTATAGGGTCCTTGAAATAATGAAATGAGTTAATAAAAGAACATACTTTGAACAATGCTTGGCGTTTTGCTACTACTATGTAAGTGCTTGCTGGCTCTTATTCTCTGAAGTTTGTCTTCCCAGATTGGCACAGGGAACTATGCAGTCACAATCTGATGATGCTACATGATTACATGGGCCAGTTTGTTGACTCAAATTTCCATTCCCAACTCAAAATAGGCTTGGAGACTGAAAGTCTTTATCCCTTGTTAGGCTTCTCTAATGAGGGCATGTGTGTATATGAATTACATAGTTTGTGAATCAGAGTGGAACTCAATTCAGTAGCCCTCATCCTTACCCAAGCCCACAACCTGCATGCAATCTGCAGGGAAGAGAAAAACAAACAAAACAAAGCATGAAACATAAAACAAATGCTAAACAAATTGTGGTGCACTCAGATTTGGATGAAAGGATTAGCCAAAACAAGGCTCTAAATCAGGAATCAAAATCTCAAATGCCCTCATAGGCAGGGTGAGGAAAGACAGGCCTAATAATATCAAGTCAACAGCTGGTTCTCAACATCTAAGTCTCACTGAATAATTACAGATTTTTGCAAGGTTTATGCCATTTCTCTCCTTTGAGCCTTTGGCTCTTTTCCCCTCTACCTAGAGTGCCCCTTTATCTCTTTTCCTACTATTAATTCCTACTTTGTCTTTAAGACTCAGCTCAAATATTTGCATTTAAAAATTGAAATCCTTGTGTTACAACTAAATATTTAAGTTTCATACACTTAAAAAAAGTATTTTCAGGCCCAGCCGGTGGTGCAGTGGTTAAGGCACTAGACTGCCACATGGCCAACATGGTTCACGTCCTGGACCCAGCAGCTTTCTTTCTCTCTCTCTCTCTCTGAGTGCATATGCACTATAGCAAATTAATAATAAATAAAATTAAATAAATAATTATAAAAAATTTTTAAAGGAAGTATTTTCTTATTTATCAGTATTTATTTTACACTTAGCATGGGACCTGGAATATTGTCAGGGCTAAAAAAATCTGTCCATATTTTTAAAAATTGATTTATCAATGAATGAACTGGGGGACTAGTATCCTACACATGGGTACAGGCACTAGTAAGAAGGATGGAGGAATAGAATGTCATTTGTTCAAGTTTCTTCCACTTCATTACTCATTTCCTAATCTTCTTTACCCCAAGACCCAGAGCCAAGCTGGACCACCTGCTGTCTTCTATTTTTTAAATAATAGACATCCTGAAAGGTGCTAGATAATATTCCACTGAGATTTTGATTTGGCACAATGTTCTGCTTCATCAGAATGTCGGCCCACAACTGTGGAAGTAGTATCTGTATAAAGATACTGGTTCATGATGTCTCCTGTTCTACTGGTCTACAAGCCAGCAAGGTAGTGCAGCTCCATATTTCTCATGTGTTATTGTTATATACTTTTTGTATTTGTAAACTTGCTCCTTTTCTCCCCTTTTTTTTTAGTATAAAGAACAGGGAGAAATACATACGCAGTCCTTTACAGGAAACTGAACTTTAAACTGTGCCCTTTTAGTAAGAAGTAAGGGAAAGTATATCATTTTGTAAAGAAAACCATAGAGCAACCCCCAATGATGTGTTAGACTAATTCTTGATATTAGTGATTGTCCTAAGAATAGATCCTATGGAACCTGTATCAGAAGAAAGAATGGCTCAGTCAAGACAGCTATGGTGGACATCTCTGTGTTCTACCCAGAGAATGGTTGCCTTTCTCATGGTAACAGCACTATATTTTCTTCTGAGAAATTTCTCTTCCCCACTCATAGTTCTTGTAGTTTAAATGGTCTGAACTCTAGCCTTAGAGTACAGCTCAGTCCTAGCCAGTTTGAATCTTATCTTCCTGATCTTTGTGACAGACTCAAGGTTAAATACCTAACCCAGTGAGGGCCAAGTTTATGACTTTTTTCAAAGCCTATTCATTCATTCATTTATTCCATGAGAGAGACATACACACAAATGAGAAAGACAGAGACAGAGATACTGGCATTCCTAATGGGATCATGTTGGAATCCACCTCTAACCTCAGCCAGCCCAGATCCCAGGTACCTGTGTACCTTGGGATGTGAACCTGGGACTGTTTTGTATTTGATCCAGTTCATAGAGTATTACATAACTGTATTACTGCTATGCCACCATCTGGCCCCAAGTCTACAACTTTGGTTCAAGCTGTAGCAAAGGAGAAGTGTAATGGAGCTGTGAGACTCTAATCTGGGTTTGCTGTTGTTGACGTGAAGAAAAATCCTATCCAGAATGGAGCTGAGCTGAGGGATGCCAAGAGATCAGGACCCAATGTGAATGCCTGTGTCTCGAAATCCATTTGTGTCTCTGAAGTTGAATCTATCCTTAGACTTGTCAGATAGACTAGTCAGAAGTGTTCTTTATCTTGAGTAATTTTTTTTTTTGCTGGTGTTTTTTTTTTTTTTTTGTCATTGAAGATCAAAAGTGTCTTGACTGAAAACAATAAAATAAGAATATGCATGTGTATGAATCAAGAACATAATTCTGAGAGAATAGTTTTGCCTAATTTGATGAGGTTCTAATTTTGTGAGGATTGAACTAAACTGTTAAAGCCCATAGTGCATAGAATCAGGGCAGAGGATGGTGAGGTGGATGGCTGATGGACTTGACAATTCTGTCTGGAAATGGATAGTTCTGATGCCAGAGTACTCACATTCTGAAATATTGTATCCCTGACTATACAGATCTATATGTTTATAGGCCCAGGGCAGGACAAACATCACTCCCTCTCTCTCTCTCTCTCTCTCTCTCTCTCACACACACACACACACACACACAGAGATATGAATATATAAATTAAAGTTTATTCTAAGAGTAAAAGCTGGATACGTTTGAGAACAACAGATATAAACAGAGATGCAGAGGAAATATTGAGAAGGAATACTGTGTCGTTGAGAATATAGGCCAAGGAACCACTGGAATGAGACAATGATGGGGCACATGAAAGCTTTAGCTTGACTGCATTGGTCATGGCAGTATTCCTGCAAAGTTCTTTCTCTATGACACTTTGCATCATGTAATTGGCTTTTGACAAAACTTTAGTTATATCACATGGTAATTTAAGATGTTCACATTTGATCTGCATAGTAATTCTATGACCAGTGACAATCAGGGCCAAGTGTATTTTGGGGAAAGACCAGAAACTCTAAAACCCTAGCTATGCAAAAGAACTTTTAGAAAGAATTTCAGTGATGGGAAGAACTAGCCTAAGAACAAATTATCTATTACCTTCACAGTGGAATTCAGCACCTTGTCCATTCAGTTGAATGGATTTCCTTAAAAAAATACTGTATTTCTCAGCTGTTCTGTGGTCAATGAGGCATTTCATAGACTCAGAATGAAAAGAAACAAAAAAGGAGCACTAATTGCTTATGGCAAAATTCTACCTACATTCATCTTCCCTCATTCTTTGCAAGCATACACTTTTGACTTTTGTAAAGAACAAGTGACCACAGACCATTTATTACTGGCATCCCTTCTATCACTCAATTGGCTTCACCTTTGTCAAGTATGAGGGATATATACTATCTATTCTTAACACTCTAAAAAGGAAACTACGAAGTATCTTTTGGCTTGGTAGGTGGTATATTATCTCAGATCTTCCAAGTCTTACCTATCTCTGGAATCCTCAGCCTGTATTTTGTACTAGCTATGCCAAAGTATGGATTCATCCAATCTCACATAGGCCTGCACCATGTTCCTGTCTTGTCCGGCCCAGGGGTACTCCTGTTTTCTCTGGGCATGAGATGCCATGACCATTTGGTGTCCATGCATGGAC